AAAAAAGATACCTGCACACGTATGTTATCGCAGCATTGTTCACAATAGCAAGAACCTGGAAACAACCCATGTGTCCATCAAAAGAGGACTGGATTAAAAAAAATGTGGGTACATATACACGATGGAATACTACGCAGCCATTAAAAAGAACAAAATCATGAATTTCGCAGCAACCTGGATGGAACTAGAGTCTATAATACTGAGTGACCTCACACAGAAACAAAGATCAGAATATCACATGTTCTCACTCATATAATGGACCTTGAACATCCAATGTAATACTATAAGAAAATGACTGACGGTACTAGGAAACTTTGGGGGGGAGGGAGATGGGATTAACAGTAGCAAATATCTGTCTGGGGCTGGGAAAACACCTCTTATCAACAGGGTGTCTGAATGAAACGTAATTGTACACCTAACCCTTAACTGTACCCCACAAAACTATAATAAAAATACTGATTAATTAAAAAAAAAAAGATAGAGCAACTAAACTAAGCAAAACGAAAGACCTCTGAACAGTATCTACCTAAAAACTAAATGATAAAGTGCTCTCATAAAGCCCTAAATAAGAATGGATGGAGAAAAAGAGCTTTTGTGTGAGAAGAGAAAGAGTAACAGGACTTCTCATGTCCCTGAGAAAGGAAGGAACTCAAAATTAGCAACATGTATTCACTGAAATGTGACCAAACCTGGAGAGGGTTCTGTAAAATCTAACTCACTGAATAAGTACAAGAGAGCAGTCTAACTGTGCAGAAGAAATTTGGGACCTACAAACACTCAAAACACAAAAAAGAAAATAAAAATGGAAGCTCCCTTCCGAAGTGAAGCCCTACAACAAGAAGAAAAGTACTGGAAGTAAAAGTCAAATCTGGCAGGAGAGGGACAAGCAAGGCAGAGGAAAGAGGAGGTTCCGATGAGAGTAGCGGAGAGAAGCAGAGAGGCAGATCTTAGTTAGTGTGAGGCCATATTTTCGATCACTTTGCCAGAACAACTGGAAGAGGAGCTTAAGAACCAGGGAAAGCCATCCTGGCTTGTACAGCCATCCTAAAATATTTCATTTATTTTACTTACTTTATTTAACTTAGAGAACAACAGAAAAGAATCATGATCAAATCCTATCCAAGATTTTATATGAAAAAACAGGAAGAGCAGAATACCCCTAATAATAAAAATAAGCTAAAAGAAATCAAACAAATAGGATCCATAAATGCAAGCTGCAAATAAATACTACATAAATCCAGAAATGTGATAATCAGAGGAACGGGAGATTTGAAAAGGAGTAAGAAAACTCAAAAAAAGATATAAAAAAATTCCAGACCAGACCATGGGAACTCCAGGAAACATGATTAAGGTTCTTCAACCTATGGATTAAAAAGACATCAACTAATCACAATGTATGAATCTTGTTTCGACCCTAGTTCAAACAGGCTAAAATAAATATAATAGACAATAAGAAAAGTAAGGTGAGAAAATATTTGACAGACAATATCCACACGGACTAGATATTTGATGATAATACAGAAATGCTGTCCATAACTGTTGAAGCTGAGTGGTAAGTTCACAGAGTTCATTATGCTTTTCACTCTCATCATGTACGTTTAAAATTTTTCTTAATAAAATATAATACTAGCCAGGCATAGTGGCACACATGTGTAGTCCCAACTACTCAGGAGGCTGAAGCAGGAGGGTGCTTGGCCTAGTAGTTTGAGGCTTCAGTGCACTAGGATAACACCTACAAACAGTCATCGCACTCCATCCTGGGCAACATAGTGAGAATGCATTTCTACAAAATAAAATAAATACTATTAATTCTCCATCAGATCAGTTATTCTTCAAACAAAATCTTCTTCCTCCCTTTACAAACAGTACCATGTCTCCCATTTTAAAAATCAAGAATCTCACATAAACCAAAACTCAAATTCCTTTAATAATAACTGTGAAACCATTTGCCTCCCAGATGCTCCTCCTTCCCCCCCCACCACACAAGTTCCAACTTAGAAAATAATTCCTTCAACTTGCTGTCTGAAGCCTCTTAATCCCTAGAGATGTTACTTTTCACTGTTCAGTCATTTCCTGATAAATCACTGGGCAAGAGTATCAGCTCGTTTCACAGTGCATGGCGGCCTTCCATCCCTTTCCAGATAGTCACTCTAGGAAGACAGCACATTCATTAATGAGTCTAAATACAGCTCTCTGTCCACTCAATATAAATACCAACCATCAATACTCAGCTCTCCTCAAGGCCAGCAGTTCTCCAGACACCTGTGCTTCCTTTTTTTTTTTTCCTCTCAATAAATGACAATGTCCTCCCACTTGGCATGAGGCTCACACTGGTCATATAATTGTGCTAGAGCAGATTCCTTGCTCCCTTTTTGATGTATTATGATTCTGTTTATTGATTACTGTGGACCACCTCCTCAGTACAGCATAGGGTCCAGACACCTATCTCTTAAAGATACAAATTCAACGTCAGCATACAAAACACTATTCTTAAAATACAGATCCAGCAGGTTGCTTTTCCTCCTCTTCTGAGTCACCATGTTGAATTTTTTAGCCACAGATTCAGGTTTATTTCCTGTTTTTTCTTTCACATTACCCAGAATTCACTTTAACAAGAAGCAACACAGAGAAAATCCTTCAACAATTTCTCTCCAAACGACAAGTCTGCATTCAGTTCACATATATTTACAGGTCACAGCTCCCATTGTAAGAGGTTTTTATTTCTCTTAACACTGGCTGGGGAACTAGGCAGTATTTTCTAAGCTCCTGACAATCCTTGGTAACTTCTCTGGTTGTGAAAAATATACTTCTAGAGGGAAATGCTGGTACTTAGGTCATTCTACCTTAGATTTATCATACCAGTTTTATCTCCTGAAGCAGCCAGATAATATCGCAAGGCTTTTGCTGCAACCTACTAGCAATTATTGCTAATAAACAGTTAAGTTCCATACAATGAACTAGAAATACAAAGAAAAATTCTCAAAGATTTTAGAGAAGCACTCAGCCATTTTTTCCCTAAAAATTAAATATAAGTGTCTTTGCACATAGATTCTGAATAATCATAGGATTATTTAAAGTATTCAGTGTATTAATTCACTTTACTGCTACTTCCCAGTCAGATTCCTATTCTTCATTATCAAAAATACTAAATGCATTCATTTTGAATGTTTTAACTTCATTATGATATGTCACCCAATTATTTGAAGAACAGCACCAAAAAAAACTACATTTATCCTAAGCTAAGAAATTAAATATTGTAAGCCACAGTCAATCTCACTTGTGAAAAACAACCAAAAACAATATTTGTGTCTGTCTTTAGAAGCTATAAATTGTATTAAACATCATTAAAATTTTTATATTAAGAGCAAGGTAAAGGCCAAGAAAAGAGTAAAAAAATGTTAACATCTATGATTTGTGGGTAGACACCCATGCACTGGATTATACACTTATTAAGGATATAAAAAGTCCTAAAGAAGTCTTCAAAATATATTCATAGAGGTTTAGTTATTAATACTATAAGGCAGGACATTTAATTTAATTTCTTTACAAAAAAAAAAAACTAAAGAGAATGGCTTTGCTGTCCTGTTTACCTAAGGAATTTCAAGGTTTAAAAACAAAAAGTATGGTGAACATCGATAATTTAAGGGCCACTGTTGTTTGGAACCTTTGTGTGATGCACATAAAATATGTGAGAATTTTAAAACATAAAAATTCTAGGAAGAGATAAAGTATTCTCTGTGGCAAAAACGCTTAGCTAAAATGCACCTGAAAGTTCTATATTTATCAAAGGTATCATGTAAGATGTATTAGTAGAAAGGAAGACTTTTTGACCTTTGATATTATAAGACAGCCCAGGAGAAAGCTAAAGAGAAAAGTCATCGGAGTTTCAGATGACTAGCACTGAAGAAGCCCATGGAGCCCACAAGTGCCAAGTCACGCAAAGTATTTACTCCGACATTAATAAAAAGAATTGCCACTTAAAAACCAGGAGAAGTATAATAAAAATATTAATTGCAAAAAAATACTCCTTTTAAGTTCAAAATCAACTAAGTTCATTTACTCTTGCCATTTCCCCCTTAATCATTTTTGCCTTACTAGGTTTTACATTTAAAATTTGAAGGATGTTGCTACTGTGTAATGAATGAGTTGATGAGTAATATCTCCAAATTCTCTCAAGCTAGCATTTCCATTAGTTGATGTTTTAACTTCAGTGCAGGTAACAATTTACTTTCACAACCACAAGAATATTTATTGATGGTGAAGCAATATTTAATAGGTCAAGATAAACAGATACTTTACCTGCTCACCTAAGGTTAAGTGTTACAGATACCTCCAGGATAATGTGATTTTGGTGTGTAAGCAACAATTTCACCAAAGCGCAGGGACTTTGTTGTTTTGTTTTTGTTTTTAATAGTCCACCCTCAGTCCCTGCATTGCCATTGTGCTAAGATTTCTTACTCATCCACTTCTATATTCTTCTGAGGTAGCTAACTGGCTCATTTTCATTCATTTACATGCAGATGTATTTCTTTACAAACCATAAAGCAATTCTTTCTATACTCACTATATGAACTCACAGGCAGAAATTTACATTCTTTATCAAGCCATTTACATGTGAGGGTACTTTTACTAAAATCTTAAAAATACTTCCATTAGGAGAACCAGAGAATAAAGGCATGGATTCTAAACAAGTGGCAGTTCTCTTGAGACGAGTGAGAGTTCATAGAGAAAGAGAACAATTATATTAGATCATAAAGTATTTACCTTTGCAGGATTTTAATCAGAATCCCTTTTCTGCCACCAGTTAGGCAAGGGAGTCAACTTGCATTCTTTTCCTACCAACCTCCATATAGAATAAAACGTACAGTACAGAAAAAGACAAGATAACTTAGTCTTCAAGCTGCTTCTAATCTAGCTGAAGAACAGAGGAAGGCATTTGTGATATAGCTGAAGAATGCAAAACTGTACCGGAACAGATTATTCAGCACTACTATTTGTTTCACCAAAAAAAAAAAAAAAAAAAAAAGGTGGAAGAGGGATCAATGCTTAAATTTTAAAAACTGCATTCAGTGGAACAAAATTACTTTAGGGACTGCTACATGGGGTGAGGGAGAAATCAAGCAAAACAGAACACTCCTTCCACTCCCATTACCCACCAGTTAATCAGACAGTAATTTTTTATCTTTTTACAAATTAGGGCTCCACCAGGGTTTCACATTTAAAAAAGAAAAGAAAAGAAACTTTGAGGGTAACCAAAAACACTAGTTTGGAAACCACTTGGAGGAGGCAAGATGGTGACAAGAGGTGGGAGCATGAAAGTGTGAGTAGGTGCAAGTGTCCATAAAGACAGTCTGCATGAGTGAGTGAGTGCAGCTGAGTGAGTGAAAGTCTGTCTGCAGGAAGACTCGGGATAAAGCGCCCAGGGCTCCCCCCTAGAGTTGGCTGCAACACACTACTACCCTGAGATCAGAGCCCCCTGAGTGCAGGATTGTCAGCTGTCTCTCAGGAGGAGGTAGCAGAGGTCAGCTGCTCCTCAGCACTTGGAACCTGGTCCATGCCACCCCCTGCAGCAGCAGGCCAGGCATTAGCAGTGGAAACCACGGAGAGGGCATGACAAGGAAATCTGGAGCTAAGCCCTGCAACCAAAAAGGAGACACTGACTGTTGTCATTTTCTCTGTCCTGGACCAGGCAGAGACCTGCATTGGCTTGCCCAGCTCTATTCACCCCCCAGCCTGGGACCCAGATGCAATCTCTGCACCCCTCTGGGATTGACCATTGCTGATCCAGAGAGGAAACTTCAGGAGCAGACTGGAGAGATGAATACCCCATCCCCATGCCAGTCCAGACACAAACACATCTTATCTGAGTGGGGGACTTTGCAGTGGCAGCAGCAGTAGCAGCAGACAAATTGGGTGAGTCTGGATCTGATTTGCCCTCCTCCCATAGCAGTCCACATGGCAAATGACCCACACTAAGAGCAACCTGATCAGCCTGTGCCAAGAGAGGAGGGGAAGGTCTGGAGACCGGAGCCCACTCCCTACCACGCAGCCAAAAGTGGTGGCAGTACTTGGGAAAGGAACCTGAAGTTCCAGAAACCGCCACAGAGAAAGCGCTTTTCTCCCTTTTTTTTTCCTCTTTTTTTGTTTATGTTTTAGTACTTGCTTTGGTTTTGCTTTGTTTGGGTGTTTTTTAGTCCCTCTGCATATGGGTATTTTTGAGAGCAAGTGCATCATCAGGGATTTTTTTTTGTTTGTATGCTTGTTTGTATGTTTTTGTTTGTTTCTTTGTTTGTTAGTTGGTATGCCTGTTTTCCTTCTCCTTCTCCCTCTCTTCATCTTCCTTTTGTCTCCTTTCTTCGTCTTTCCATTCTTTTCCTTTTTCTTATCTTATTTGCTTTCAGGGTGCATACATACACCCCCATTGCATGGACAGATTGTAAGGCAGTGGCTTCCCGCGGTCCACACACCTATCAGCGGATACTATGATCTGCAGAGAGCCTCTGAGCCACAGCTCCCCCATCCTACCTTAATCAAACCTCAAAACTGCAAAAAGCATAGCATAGCAAAACATATCCTCAGTCCAGCTTCAAAACTGAACAAATCCAGAAGATCTACATGAGGAAGAACAGGGGATTGAGCAAACAGAATTGAAAACTAACCCCCCATCACTGAGCAATGGAATTAAAGAAGCAGGGAAAAGGGGGGAGGAAAACCATCACAAATGAAGAATCAAAGGAAGAACACAGGTCTCATACAGATTCCTGGGAAGACAGCACCTGAGAATATAGACTTCGGAACTCAAACAATGAAGAGCCCCCAGAATGACTGGTCTCAAACCACAAACCCAGACATCAAGATATTAAGAGAGAGTGAATAGAAATGAGGAGAGATAAGAAGAAAGAATATAGGAGTTAATATCTGAAATGGCAGCAATAAAGAATATAGTAAACAAAGTAAATAATAAAATGGAAAGCAGAATTAACCAAGCAGAAGAATCCCAGTACTTGAGGACCAAAATATGGAACAAACTCAAACTGTTAAAAACATAGAAAAGAAGCCTAAAAATATGTAACAAATTCTCCAAGAGATATGCAACTATATCAAGAGGCCGAACCTATGATTAATTGGTATTCCTAAGGCAGAAAGAGATACAGAGACCACCCCAGAACAAACATTCCATGAAATTATCCAAGAAAACTTACCTCATCTCATCAGAGACATGACCATTCACACACAAGAGATTCAAAGAACTCCTGCAAAAGGTCGAATGAGAAGACCAACTCCTAGACACATAGTAATTTGCTGACACAAAGTAGGTATAAAAGAAAAAATCCTAAGGGCAGCAAGAGAGAAAGGTCAGACTACTTACTGGGGAAGAACAATTAAAATAGTAGCAGACTTAGCTACAGAAACACTACAGGCTAGAAGAGACTGGAGTCCAATCTTCA